TTGTATGGCGCCGGGCTATTTAGCATGTATCACTCACAGGCACATACCAAAAAAAAATTTTTTTTCTTCTAAACCTGTTAATTTGTGTTCACTGATCATGGGAAAAATAATAAAAAATCGTAAGTGGCATATATTGCCCGCTATAGGGCGGGGAAGTCTGGCAAAAAACAGGGCTGACTCAGTGTGCGTCCCAGACGGTCTGTTGCTCGCCAGCTGTCAGGCCAGAGTTGCCACAAAGAGATAATTACCTAATTATTTCAATGTCTTTGATTGATTTTTTGTAGTTTTTTTGCTGTAATATTATTCAATAGTGTGTAGTGATATATTTATATAATGAGTGAATCATCGCTGAACTCAAAAATATGGTGTGCATATTGTTGATTCAATTATGTTCATCAAACAGTGAACAAATACTTTGTTGGTTATTACACTATATACACAGGTTATTTATAAGTATGCATGTTTTGTTCACAATAACGAACCACTAAGTTGCTATTATGAGTCAAAAAGTAACGAGGAGTGACTGCCACACACCAGCCAGCCACTCACTCCCTCAACACCTCACTCGCCCACATTCTCCTCCCACCATACTGTTTTTGCTTTTATTCACTATATAGACGCTATATATAAGTATCTATATTCGTATTCACCATAACGAACCACTAAGTTGGTATGCCGAGTGGCAGTGGCAGCCCACCACTGGCTGCCACCCCCTCCCTCCCTGACCTCACCTGACTTGCCACTATTCTCCTCCCACCATACTGTTTTTGCTTTTATATATAGTCATTATATATAAGTATTTACATGTTTTGTTCACCATAACTGTACATCTAAGCTTGTATGGTGAGTAAAGGCACAAAGACGTAGCTACTCACACAGTCAGCTGGTGGCGGCCACCCTCAAGGCCAGACGCACTAATATTTCTCCTCCAATAATACTGTTTGTTGTGTTATTACGCTATATACACACATTATATATAAGTATCTACCTGTTTTATTCACCATACTTGTACAAGTAAACTGGTATGGTACCCAAAGACCATAGTGGTCACCAGTAAACAACATAAGTCGTGCAGACGACGCCACCTCCCTCGCCAAAATGGCAGCTCCCAACCTACTCCTAATGTTGTTTATACCCTCTATACACACGTTATATATAAGTATCTACATTTGTGTTCATAGCGAACCACTAAGCTGGTATGGTGTGTGCAGTCAATAAAAGGTGGCCACACACAGTCAGAAGACAACGCCACCACCCTCCCTCCCACAGCATTACTCTTCCCTCCATGGAGAACAGCGCTAAATATCGCCACAATCCTGCTATTATCAGAACCCTGGTCAGTTTCATCACAGTCAGGGGTCTTCTGTAATAATATCATCGCTACATAATAGCAAGAAAGCTACATAATAGCAAGAAACAAGTATATTATGGCATTTTTAGGCGATGCTGTAGTCACAAGCTGAACAGCAGTGCTGTGAGCGCTTGTTGCGTGCATCAGGCTTGATAGCTCGCTCAATACCGAGGCCCTAACACCCGGGAATTTGGCCCACGATTTTTTTTTTAAATGGTGTCTGTTTACAAGAGCCCTGATGAAGGTGTGGTGAACTCCCATGTATCCGCGGGCCATTTAAATCTTGCGTAGTACTCCAAAGCATCATATGATGCGATGCGCAATTTACTGCAAGTCGGTCAGAGCATCATATGATGCGATGTGCAACTTAAGGGTTAAGGTCTTTTCATTGCATATTTATGCATTTCCTACCTCTATGCTACACATTCTTGTGTATATTAGTATGTGCATATTGGCTATACTAATGATAGTGCTAGGCTGGACTATGCACATGTTCAGTACCCTGATTGAACTGACCAGTGTTCAGTTATAGCACCAATTTCTTTCGTCTTCTTGTATCACACTACGGGCTGCTGTGTTGCAATGTCTGCAGGTGGATGTTGATTTCCATTCACCCACTCCTGCCCCCTGCAGTTCATTTTCGTTGGGAAGGGGGAGCTAGGAATTACAGCCCTGGCTACGAGCTGTTCTTTGTGTTAGTTTTCCATACGGGACTTTTTATTTTAGTCCAGTACACATCCTAAGTAGTTCTCTCACATTCATCAGCGGCACGTGCGTCGTTCTGCCCTGCTGGGACTAGTTGCGCCGTTCCTGCGGGATGCGGTGTCACCATTTTTGCTTCACGTCTTGCATGTCGGCTCTTGGTGCTTGCTTCCTCGTTGACCTCTGCCTGGGCTCCTGGGGCCAGATTCACGAAAGCACTTACGCAAGCACTTACGAACCTTTACATCTTTTCTCAATCTTTGGCGGCTTTGTTTACAATTATTAAAGAGTTAATGAGATCCGAAGCACCAGGAGGCTGTTTATAACAATAACAACAGTTGATTGGCAAGTTTTCATGCTTGTAAACTGTTTAATAAATGTAACCAAAGCCGTCAAAGATTGAGGAAAGATGTACACGTTCGTAAGTGTTTGCGTAAGTTCTTTCGTGAATCTGGCCCCTGGCTCTTCAGTTTTCGTCTCCATTTTGTCCTTGCTGTTTGCGGTGTCCGCAGTTGGGCTGTTTCTGCAAGCGGCGGCTTCTCGTTGTCATCCGTTATCGGCTTGTTGGTCCTTCACGGGTCCTGGGGGGGGGGGGGTTCCTCCCGGACGGGGCGTGTCTGCCTGCCCGGGTTGGTTCTTTTCCGGCTCGCTGGGTTCGGGTTACTGATGCCCAGATGGACGTTCCATCTGGTTCCCTGACAGCCTTGGTTTCAAGCGCTGCTTGCTCTGTTTCCATACCCAGAGGTTTTCCCACAGCTCCGTCTCTTTCAGATGCTTGGTTCAGTTGGGGCCGTTTTGGTCTTCTCCTCGAGTCTTTGCGGCTGGTGATTTGACTCGTGTCTTATCACATCCTGTTTGGTGATCAGGTGGCTTCGTTAATGGCGTCCCACCTGCATGCTTTGTTGAGGTGGCAGTATGGGATTTTTCTGGCAGTCCTTCCTTCCTTTTTGTCTCTTCGTAGGTGTACTTCGCTTTTCGTTGGTGGTCTTGTTTTTTTCTCTAGTGGTTGTTTCAGGATGGTCTTCATATGCTGCATTCTGTTGCCTCGTATCATGCGGCACTGGTGGAGCTGCTATGGCCTGCTTTCGGTTTTGATGTTCCTTCTGCACCGTTTCGCAAGCTGTCTAGGGTGTTGTTTCATCTCCGGCCTGCTCATGCACCGCCTGAGCCACCCTGGTCTTTGGACACGATGCTCTTATCTCTTCCCCTAGGTTGGTTGTGGCCCCTTCGGTTCCGGATTGTTTCTCGGAGGTTTCTGCTCCTTTGGGTTCTGGTGTTAGGTTTGTTTGTTGCAGCTGTAATTCTTTTTCAGGCAAGGTTGGGTTGACTGTTTTTCTGGAGGGGTCCCTGAAGTTGTTGCTTGGTTGGTTTTGGCCTGGGGTGCATCTTCTTGTGTCCGGTTGTGGCTCTCGGTCATTGCCTTTGTGTCATGGCCTCTGTGGCCCTGGACGTGCTTAGTTGCCCAGGGTAACCTTTCGTCCCTGTTCTGGGGTTTGGGTCGTCTGCGGGGTCCTTTGTGTTGCTTGTTGCCTTGCATTGGGGTTTATAGGTGCTGGGTTTCCGCCTCCCGGGTTTGTCCCTCTTTTGTCCTTGGCTTTAGGTGGGTAGCTTCGGGGAGCCAAAGGGGCTTCTCATAGAAAACGAGCGTTGAATGTAATGAAGCTCCATTTTCTGGGCGAGATACAGAGACTCCCCAGCAACCCTCTTTTCCCCTGTCGGCGGGGTTTTTCGCGTGTTTTGACATCCAGCCTTGAACCGACAGGTGGATAGGCGGCGCGATGGGTCTGAGGTTCCCCCTCCCGGGGAGGGGGGAGCTGCACAGAAAAGCGGCACGGCAAGTGTGACGTCATGCTTGTTTGCTTGTTTTTCAATTGAGGAGTTGTTTTACTTGTTAGTTTTCTGCAGTAGTTTTAACAAGATTAGGGGGGGGTTTGTTTGGGGACACCTACCTTTCTGGGTGAACATAGAATGCTCCACACATGCACGTACATTTCTGTAGGCCATTGCTCCTTGTTCCTCTCTGAGGGGGGTCAAGTTCTGGCTCCTGGTCCCCATTAGGCCTAGAACTCCATTCACACTGACTGATGCCAAAGTCTGATAATATACATATTGGCCTGAATAGCTCTGGGGAGCCTCCGGGTCTCGCCCAGAAAAATGGCGATTCATTACATTCAACGCTGTTTTTTTTTTATTTCGGATAAACTAGCCACCACTTGTCTGCTCACATACATGTGCACGTGTGCAAACATGTGCTCTTGTGCTTGCATTCTGTACTCAACACTTGTGCACAAAAACAATAAGTCTTGTTAAAAATTTGTTGCCATAAAATTTTGTCATTGGCTCATGACCCCCAAATGTCACTCTTAAAGCTTGGCAAAGTGGCTAAAATTGTTATATAATTATACAGTATTCAAAGTTAACCATTAATGGCCTAAATAAGCAAATATATCTTCTAACAGCATGGCTAAAGCAGCTTGGAAGTTACTTTACATAAAGTTTTTATCATTATACGAGTTTATAAACTGAGGGCAGGTGCTCAACGAATGGGTGGGACCTCGTGTATTAAATAATAAATAAATAAAATATTATAATGCCAGTATTATTATTATAATAATAATACAAAATATAATACAGTAGTGCCTCATACATTGCTGTGTGGTAAACTCATAACACTGGTTTAGTTTTGAGGTACAGCATACTGAAATAGAAAAATGTAATTAAATAGAATTCATTCACAAAATGTGAATTTAGTGTGAGCTCACTGTGAACACTGTACCTTCATTCATGGTTTCTGCACTTGGCTAGCTTATGTCTATTAACATGTTTAGTGAATCATGGACATTATAAATTGATTGGTTAATGGGCATGTTTCCATTTTTAAATAACTTTGTATTGCTTATAAATGAACATTAACTATAATGGGTGTTGGATTGTGTGGGATCTACAGCATGGTGATCGGTCCCTGGTTATTTACGATCGTGGATGTCTACGAGCAGGTGAAGAATGGATAGAGTCGAACCTAGTGCCTGTTGCAGGTGTAGCGGTTGGGGTGGCGGTGCTGCAGGTAGGCAATGGCTGGGAATCGACTGGCATTAACAATATCTGCTGTACAGATTGAAATCTCGGTCTAACTTGCATGATGTCCAAGCTTACTGTAAGACTTTAGAATTTTTCTTGTTTTCAGATCCTGGATTTACAAAGTAGATATTATTAGGTGCATGCTTGCATTAAAATACAGTATAAACAGTAAATACTGTACAGTATAGACAAAGCTCAATTCAGGTACTTTGGTGTCTTGACAAATGCTTCATAGTAATATGCATGCATACTGGTAATTTAGTCACCATATGGTTTCTCATAGAGCACACTATGCATGGTTAGTTAATATGCAAATGTTTATCCTTGTAGATCCATAGCTTGTATTTTTCTCTTGAATTTGCATGGAAATCCTAATTATATTCCGTATAATTGAAGGTAATATTCGCTGTATTGTTAAGTGCACTCCCTTCTGCTTCAGCGACTCGACGCATCACATATATATGAAAAAGGCTGCTTACAAGCAGGAGAAGAATGGTTAGAAAGAAACTTACTGGTTGTTGCAGGCGTAGCAGTAGGAGTTGCCTTCTTGCAGGTAAGTCCTTAGGCCAAGTGCCAAGTTTATATGTTAAGTTTTATTGTTAACCTGTTGAGGGGGGCTTCAGGCAGAGAAGACTTCATTTAGCTCGAGATCTGATACTAGGTATAAAGATAAATTATTCATAAATATAGGTCTTAAAAAGCTCAAATATTTAAAGTTTCAGCATTTTTTTTTCTTCATAAAGCATTCTGAGGTAATTGTGCTCAACCCTTAATCACTGATCCAGTTATCTCGCTTACAGGATTCTCTTTCAGTTTGTATTTCTAATATTTCTCCTCGTATTATTCCTTCCTTGCCCCCGTGGAGAATCCCCCTTCCAAAATTTTTGTACATCCTTGACCCGCATCACTAAAGCTTTTACCCCTCCTCCGGTTCTGAAACTCATTTTCCTTTAGCACTTTTCTTTACTCTCCCGCTCCGTTTCCATCTTCAGTGATGGGTCTAAGTCTGCGGACAGTGTAGGCTACTCTGTTGTTTTTCCTGACCGCAACGACCTAGGTACAGCGCCATATAGGCCGTTAAATTGCGTGGATACTCTATATACACACATTGTATATTCCCATCTATATATGTGTTCACCATAATGAACCACTAAGTTGGTATGGTGAGCCCAAAAAACATAAGTGAGCTGCCACAGCCAGCCAGCCCGCTCTCACTCCTCCAACACCATACTCGCCAACATTCCTCCTCCCTCCATACTCTTATGTTTTATTACACTATTTACACACGTTGTGTATAAGGATCTACACGTTTTATTCACCATAACTATACAACTAAGCTGGTATTGTGTCCAAACAGCACAGTAGCCACCATACACTGCATGGTAAGTCACACAGTAGACGATGCTACGAGTACGACGCCACCTCCCTCGCCAAAATGGCTTCGCCCAACATACTCCTGTTGCTGTTATTACACTATTCACATGCTATATATGTATATACATTTGTGTTCACCATAGCGAACCACTAAGCTAGTATGGTGAGCCCAAACAAGAGTGGCTGCCACACACAGTGACGCTATCTATATTCCCTCCCTCCCTTCCTCACCAAAATTCCTCCTCCCACAATACTACACACAGTGCTAATTATCACCACAATCCTGCTATTATCAGAATCCTGGTCACTAAATCCTATAAATGAATAATTTACCACAAGTTTATTTTGTAAAGAAAGATAAGAAGTCATTTGAAGAATCCTAGATGGAGGAAATAATGCTGTGGCTAGCGCTGTGAACATCATGAACAGCATTGATTCACTGATATTTGAACATTGTACACAATCTTTATCACACTCTGGCATATGTAATATTATCATGGCTAAATAATACCAGATACAGGGGTACCTCGGTTTAAGAGTTTAATCCATTCCTGGAGATGACTCATATTCCGAAAACTCGTATTCCGAAGCAAATTTCCCCATAATGAAGAAGGGACATCCTCTACTGCCTCTACTCACAGCTATTTTCTTAGGTTGAACCTTACCAATGGCTTTCTTGAGACCCATGGCGAGATATATAATGACAACTTTTATGCTCAAATGGCCAAAAAACCGACAAAAAACTGTAAATCCTTGTGAAGAATTCAGGTGGGATAGTCACTGGGCGCGAGACACTGGTAAACTGAGGCGCGATCGCCGTGCCACCATGCGCTAGTCGGCCTGTACACGTATAAACAAACTCGTGTTCCAAGGTAACCCTCGCCTTCTGAGGCACATTTTCTGAGCAAATCCTGCTCGTATTCCGAAAAACTCGTATTCAGGGACAATCGTATTCCGAGGTACCACTGTACATATACATTTGGACATTATTTGGCAATGCTGTGGTCACAAGCTGAACAACAGTGCTGTGAGCTCATGCTGCGTGCGCCAGTCTTAGTGGCTCACTCAGTACTGAGGCTCTCACACCCGGGAATGTTGCCCACGATTTTTTTTGTTAAATGGAGTCTGTTTCCAAGAGCCCTGAGAAAGCCGATGTGAACCCCCATGTAGCAGCAGTAGTTTTGAATCGAACGCTATACCTATGAGATCCCTGAGGCGCGTTCCGCACCACCCATAGAGAGCCTCACAACGCATTGTGCAGTGCAGTAGTTAAACTGAGCAAGGCACAGTGTGTTTATACAACAAGGCATATCACTCGGTTTTTTAAATTTGCTGAAACACTATCAAATATTTTGTGCATAATCTACTTGGTAAATGTTCCAACTTTGTCTAAATGATCACCAACGTACTTGAAAAAAAAAATTTAAAATAATTATAAAATTGAATGTTGAAAATTTTCAGATTTTCAAATCGACTGCAAAAGTATTAAATATCGCCAATTGTTCATTTGGTGTTATGCTCTCAGAATAGTAGGTGATTTTCATTTTCATAAGTTGAGAATATAGGTTTTTGGTATAGTTTACTGTAAACAAAATCATCAATATGGCATTTGAAATATGCGCCAAATTTAGACAAAAAAATTAAAACTCGAAACGTTTAGGGTTTATGAAACATACATTCTGTAGGATTATAAGAACAAACAACTGTGCACACTTTTTGTAAAAATGGTGATATTCGGTCAGAAACTGGATTTTCTGTGGAAAGCTGCTTCGGCTCCCTGGAGCTATACTGGGCTGATATGTATATATTAGACCGTGGCAACAGTCAATCGAAGGAGTTCTAAGCCTACCGGGGACCAGAGCCAGAACCTGGCCCCCTCAGGCACGAGGAGCAATGGCCTAAAGACACCCCCGTGTAATTGGAAGCAGTCTGTCTGCCATATACCAGGTCAGGCACCCAGAAAGGTAGGAATCTCAAAACAAACTACTGTACTGCTGGTCAAAAATTGCAAACCGAAAGCCGAACTAGCAAACGGAACTCCCCAATTAAAAACGAGGAAACAAACATGACATCACCACAACCGCCCCATATCCGTCTGCGCCCTTTATCCCTTCCTGTCCCCTTCCCAGGGATGGGGGGTTGCGCAGACGGATACGCGGCGGTTGTGGTGACATCATGTTTATACAGTATCCTTGTTTTTCATTTGGAAGTTCCGTTTGCTAGTTCGGCTGTCGGTTTGCAATTTTTGACCAACAGTAGTTTGTTTTGAGATTCCTACCTTTCTGGGTGCCTGACCTTGTAGATGGCAGACAAAGACTGCTTCTAATTACAAGAGGGGTGTCTTTAAGCTATTGCTCCTCATGCCTCTCTTGAAGGGGCCAGGTTCTGGCTCTGGTCCCCGTTAGGTTTAGAACTCCGTCAAGTCACTGTTGCCACGGTCTAATATACACATCAGCCCGGTATAGCTCCGGGGAGCCTCCGGGTCTCTCCTAGAAAATGGCGTTTCATTACATTCAACGCTGTTTTTTTTATATGGTTGAAAGTCGAAACTCTAGTTTTAGAGATACAGTGCTTCCTCTATCTAACGAACCCTGCTCTATCGAATTCCCGGAAGAGTCAAACAAATTGAATTCGGTACCAAATGTTCAGTGGAACATACAAATGTTCGATTAAGCAAGGAATGTTCGTTCAAGCGGTCACTGAGGCAGAGCGTCGGAGCTGGCCATCATCGGCTATGATTCGCAAAAGTGTAAATAGTTATACAGTGTTTTATTATCCTCACCCATTGTTTCTAGGGAGAAATGGTGATAAAAATGGAATAAAAATGGTGATAAAATGGTGTCAGGGGGGCATTGGTGAGAGTTGTTGTTAGGGGGCAGGTGGTGTAAGTTACGTAATCTCATGGGAGGCAGGTTGTTAGTGGTAGAAGTTGTCAGGGAAAGCTGGAGTAACAGTGGTGTCACGGGAAGCAGCAATTGTATGTGGAGAGCTCTGGTTCCTCTCTGGAGCTAAATGGCAACACGTGACTGACGCCTCTATGCTCCCCCTCCAGCACCCCCTCCTGCACCTGACTACCAGAGACCAGCCACTACTCTCTTCTCCTCTCCTCTCATTGTCAGATGCCACGAGTCAATTTAATGATGTTAATTATCACATTATCTACACTGAAAAGAGCCTTTTTATTAGAAAAATGTCATTGCAGCAATAATAATGGTGAAAATTATGATATATACAGTATTTTAAACAGTTGGAACATTTCCTTTTCACAGAATTTTTAAGACAATTAGGGTGTAAGAAACAGCTGCCTTGGCATTGTGTGGCCGGGTACCAGTGTGTTGCCGGAGTCATGGGTGGGGATTCCTGTATTGTGTGAGCGAAGACCTGTCAACCTATCAATTGTGGCGACTACTGACTCCACACCACATAGCTGCCTTGATACTATACTCCATGCTTTTCACAAAATTGAGAGAAAATTTTTCCATTTCAGTGGCTTGTAACACATCGCTCTATCATATGCCTTATTCAGAATGAAGAGTGCATAATAAATGGGTGTGTCAGTGGTGAGGGGGATGTATTAGGGGGGTTAGGAAGTTGGCTAGCTTGCTGTTTTTTTTTTTTTTTTTTTTTTTTTTTTTTTTTTTTTTTTTTTTTGTCGGGTGTGTTGAATGAGACACTTCCAAGCCTGCTGCCTCAATATGCCCCATGGAGGGTGCGAGTGGCGTGGGGGATGGTGATTCCCCCCTCTTGGATTATTATCGACACCTAAAGGGCATCAGCAATGCTGGCGAGTAAGATGTTGGAGGAGTGAGGGAGGACTTGCTGGGTGTGGCAGGTCACACTCACGGAGTTATGAGTGTGTTGATGGTGAATGTATATAGTGTGTGACAGTGTATAGTGTGTAAATATGTTGTAAATATACATAAATCAACATGAAACATTGGTGTGAATAACAATATGGCAGAAGGAGGGTAGTTGGCAAGTACGAAGTTGGAAGAGTGAGGGAGGACTGGCTGGGTGTGGTAGCTCACACTCGTGGAGTTCTGAGTGTGTTTATGGTGTGTGTATATAATGTGTAATACTGTACAGTGTGTAAATAGATTGTATATATACATAAATTAGCATGATACATTGGAAATATGTGCAGGATATGCGTACACGTGTCATGCACGTAACACAGTG